AGGAAAAGCAAGTAAGAATCGGACTAAAAATATGAGGAAACGCACGCAGACCCGTTTTAAAAAATAAAGAAGAATACGAATTCTGGAATGTGATGTGAAATAAAAAAGGAGGGTTTCCCCCCCCCCCCCCCCAAAAAAAAAAAAACCCTGGCCCTTGGTCCTTGAAGTTTTTTTTTTCTTTTTTTTTTTTAGCGCAAGACACAGCTTTATCGCAATTAACTCTCGGACGTACATGCAAATTCATGCCCCCACCGTGGTAAAAGATGGGGGGGGGGGGAGTCGATGATAACTCACCCTGGAGTTTTTGACATGTTGCACTGTTTTGAAACGATTTTACCTTTAGTGGAAAGCCTTTGATCTTCTTAACAAGAGGAGGTATATTTTTTGGGTGGTAGCACTGCTGCAGGCCTAAGACGTCACCAACAATGGTCGCCATCTTGGATTTTACCAAGAATTAGACATCAGGTTAAAACCGCGAGAAATATTATAAATAAGTACTTTGCATGATTTTAGCTACAAGATTTATTTTTATTGTTGAAACAGTTAAAAAAAGATGTATTTTCACCCAAAAATGGCCTGACCAACTGCTACTTATGACGTCATATGTCGTAACCATAGCAACTGACCATCCTCAAACTTGTCTCAAAATGTGCGCGAGGGATGAACAAACAGGGGAAGGGGGGTACTTGGGTTAATGTTTGCTGGGTATGTGTAGGTGGCCTCTCAAAGCCCCTACCCCATTATAGCCTATTTTTTTGGCCAATTATAAATCCCATCTTTGTCACTTTTTGGAAAATGAAATTTTCACGATCCTGACTTAGTCACTTTCTATTGATGCATCTATTTTATCACTGTGGTTTTATTCGGCGGAATGTAATGCGGCCAATGCGAGCTTATTGTAAAGTTTAATAAACAATAACTTTCTGATTTTTTTAACTGAGTATCTTTCCATTTTCATTCCGTCTTGTTATTTATCGATCCTTCCCGTCTGATTTTGATGGATTCAGTTATTTGCCTAAGCATAGCGTCAACGTGGTAAACCCCAGTCACATTCATCACATAGTCTGGGATCACCCCGTTATGGCAATCATTCGCATGTCTTCTTAACACAGACTGAGAAACGTCCCTATCCATGCCGTCCAAATGTTCCTTTCCTCGCGTGAAAGCACTTCTTGCTGTTTCTCCGACGTACTTCTGCTCACATGTTTGACACTTGATCTCATAAGTCACGCCAAACGAATCACAAGGTCCTCTACCTCCAGTTCGGCACACGAAACAACATTCTCGTTCACACGTTCTCTTCTTGAATGGGTCTGATCGCTGCAGTACTCTTTTCACGCTCATCCCCGACTTTTCCACAATCCTGATCCTCAGACCTGACTTCTTCACATCTTCATCTAACGATCGTTTCAACGA